AATAGCGAAAATTAAATTAGTTTACTTGCTGCGATATCTGACTGAACTGCATGCATCATGTCATCAAACCATCAGTGAAAAAAAGATCGTCTTTTTTATTTGGCAATATCTCGACATTAACTGATATTATTTACTACAGGGTGGCGCAGACGAAAATTAACTTTTGAAAATTCAATGAAACGAAAAGAAAACTGTACATTTTTGTAGAACTTTAACTATTGCAATTCAAAGGAAATTGAGTGCAATTTATTTTAAAATTTACTTCCTTTTATAAATTTTATCGTATATTTTACAACATTCGGTCAACATACATCAAAATTTTGGAAAACTCGTTAGAGTTACCTCGAAATGGATTCAGGATGGATGAATGCTGCAGAGTTTTTGTATTATTAGAGTATACTCTGCTCATAAGGTTCCCCGCAAAAAGAAGTCTGCTGGAATGAGATTAGCGCTTCTTAGAGGCAGTGAGATTTCATCCCTGTTTAATAGGTTTCGAGGTAATTCTAACGAACGCATTTCAAGATTTTGATGTATGTTGATCGAATGTTGTAAGCGTCAAGGAAATCTCCTAGGCGATGTAATTTAATAAAGGTAAATTTAAAAATAAATTGCATTAAATTTTCTTCAAATTGCAATAGTTAAAGTTCAGTTTTCGTTTCCTTCAATTTTCAAAAGTGAATTTTCTTCTGGGCCACCCTGTATTTATGTATTCGTCATTAGAGTGAATAGCCCAGAAAAAGAAATTAGTTTTTTGAAAGGCTTTTTGAAGAATGGCGTTTTTGTAACTTTTTGGACTTTAAATAAAAGCCGTCATTATTATATTATAAGCCATTTTATTGATATTTACCTCAAAGATAGTGCATTTCATTTTATTAATAGGAAATTGTCGTAGTTTTTTAATATCCGGTATCCGGCCGGATAGTGAGTTACTATCCGGTATCCGGCCGGATAGTGAGTTACTATCCGGTATCCGGCCGGATAGTAAATTTAGGCCGGATATCCGGCCTACCGGATAGTTGCCGGATATCCGTTTCATCTCTAAAATGCACTATAGTCATTACTAACTACTTAACCAATGTTTGTTTACGTATAGCATTTGCGAACCAAAAAAAAATTATAGGTTAGATTAAACTTGATTATACTTTTATCAGTCATATTGAATATTTTTTGTAGTTTACACTCGCTCTTATTTTTTTTTTAATTCAAAAATCACTCGAAAACTCGCCACCACAACAAAACAAAACTAACAGAAAACAAACAAGCGAGCGAATCACGGCATTGGCTCTGATCACTCATTCATTCACTCATTCAACGCGCCGAACATGACCGACAACAGCGCGGAAACACCCGAATGCACATTCGGTTACGGTCGTAGTTTCGGCAAGTTTGCCGCCGAAAACGAAACTAAACCGAAACTCGTGTTTTTACCGAAACTCAACCGAAAACGAAACCGAAACCGAACATTCGGTCGGACACTAATTGTCATACAGTTTTTCAATAAAACTAGTACAGGCGTTAACGTTAAACCGTATCTCATCATTATGTGGCCAACAACTTGTACCTTGTGATGATAACAGATGTATTAATTTGTTCAAATAAACTTATTTATTTATTTTATTATTAATCCCCAACCCCCTTCTATCCCTACTAATATTACAAATGCGAAAGTAACTCTATCTTTCTATTCTGCCGCGCTTTTACGCTTATCCCGATTTTGATGAAATTTGGCATAGATACAGTTTAAATTACGGAAAGGACAACCTTGGTTTTTGAAACAGGGATGCGCGCGACAAAGGTTTTCTGTGACAGACAAAATTTCACGCGGGCGAAGCCGCGGACAAAAGCTAGTTTAAATTAAAGAAAGCTAAGTTCTGTTCTTTTTTACTTTGTTTATATTACTAGCTATGTCACTTAAACGCGCATTTGCTATGAAAACATGTCAGTCAGACGACCGCACTTTATGCTATGTAGTATTTTCCTGTCACATAATTAGTTATGCATTTTGCCCCTTTAGAAAAACCTCTTAATGTCATCATCATCATCTTTGCCAAGACGGGTTAGGGAACTATCAACAATCTATCGGTACCTAAAGGGAGTTAAAATCGTTCTTCAATAAATACAAAATTTAGGCGGATATACATATAAAGGTGGATCGGAATACGGTATCTAGTGTTAGCAGCTAGGCAGGCCTCCCACTTTGTAGACCGACGATCTATTGAAGGCCGCGGGAAGCATCTGGATGCGGGCAGCGCAGGACCTGTCGTTGTGAACGGATTTTTCCACTTTGTTCACCTGGGTGATATCACCTGGCAGAGCAAAGTAGATTTTTTAGTGTCCTCATTTCCCTCGGAACCATTTCACCCGGGTGATATCACCCAGGTGACTTGAGTCGACTAAGCAGTTGCCTTTGTTCACTTAGGAATTAATATTCATCTAGGTGAATGCTATGCCTAGCTGCTTGCTACTTTTTAGCAAAAGCTACTTTATGCTACTGAATGCTACTTTTTAACCGACTTCAAAAAAGGAGGAGGTTATATTATGTTCGAAGTTAGATGATACTTTTTAATTGCCGATATTAAAATTTAAAGTAGGCTGTATTTTGTGTGACAACAACAAGGACTAATCAACTAAAAATCATAAAATAAAGGCACTGAGCAGGCTGATACCGACTCCGAGTATATCAATCATGGTATACATTAATTGTCCTAATAAATAAATAATGTAATTATTTTCTACTTTTTAATGCAGGTTTTTTGGAGTCGGTTTTTAACTTTTTTGTGAAAATTAATCTATTTCATTCTTCTTAGTTGATTATTCCTTATTATTGCATTGTGATGTCACCCAGATGAACAAAGTGGAATAAGTAGGTAATCCGTTGTGAATATCCTCGGGGAAGACCTTAGNTGTGATGATAACAAATGTATCAATTTGTTCAAATAAACTTATTTATTTATTTTATTATTAATCCCTATCCCCCTTCTATCCCTACTAATATTATAAATGCGAAAGTAACTCTATCTTTCTATTCTGCCGCGCTTTTACGCTTAAACCGATTTTAAACAGAAAAACCTCTTAAAGTCTTATAGCCCGACCAGGAACATAAAAACCCTCGCCATGTTGCGGAAAACTAATGGTACTAATTTCTTTTAATGGCAACAGTAACTGAAAACTTCATTGACATGTCACCTTGCATGTCAGTCTATTGCTGTCAAAGTGTAAACAAACTGTATTTTAAATGTACGCAATTGATTTTGTGTGAATTAAATTGCTAAAATCTTTTTATAGTCGTGAAAGAAAAGTGGTTCACAATGTGTTAAAGTATTTGTCGAAGAGAAATACTAAGGGTTCGGACAATATTTTCATTGAATAATGTTTCCGACAAAGGTTGTCAAATTGACTGACATGTTTATCGCATAGTACAGTCCACTATGAAAATTAGCTATGGTTTGTTTCAACTACCTATTTTAAAAAAAAATGTCACTTTCTAAGTGTTGAATTTTATGGAATTGGGAAAGAAGTACCGAGTTTGAAGCGTTCATGAGCAAACATTGCAGTTGAATATTCAAGTTCTGAATTTGATTATTGATGAAATCATAAAATAAATCCTACTAGCTCGATTGATGGTTTCATTAATTTATTTATTTAAACCAGGTTACCTATAATAATATTTTTTCGTTAATCTATGAAAATATCAAATTAACCCGTAATCCTGAATCCTGATACATAAAGTGAGCCTATTAATTTAACACGGGTACGACTGTACTCAGTGTTGCACTATCAAATGCAATTGACGCGCCTCTATGCCAGGGTTTTTATGTTTCTGGTCAGGCTAAAATGTCATTATCATCATCTTTGCCAAGACGGGTTAGGGAACTATCAACAATCTATCGGTACCTAAAGGTAGTTAAAATCGTTCTTCAATAAATACAAAATTTAGGCGGATATACATATAAAGGTGGATCGGAATACGGTATCTAGTGTTAGCAGCTAGGCAGGCCTCCCACTTTGTAGACCGACGATCTATTGAAGGCCGCGGGAAGCATCTGGATGCGGGCAGCGCAGGACCTGTCGTTGTGAACGGATTTTTCCACTTTGTTCACCTGGGTGATATCACCTGACTGAACAAAGTAGATTTTTTATAGTGTCCTCATTTCCCTCGGAACCATTTCACCTGGGTGATATCACCTTGCCTTTGTTCACTTAGGAATTAATTCATCTAGGTGAACAATGTTACTTTTTAACCGACTTAAAAAAAGGAGGAGGTTATATTATGTTCGAAGTTAGATGATACTTTTTAATTGCCGATATTTAAAGTAGGCTGTATTTTATAGGGAAGATTATTTACACTTAATATGGAAAACTATAGTCTCATTCTCATTAAACATAGGTTTAGGTAGGTACTGTCCATCTTCAGTGACATTATCAAGGACTAATCAACTAAAAATCATAAAATAAAGGCACTAAGCAGGCTGATGCCGACTCCGAGTATATTAATCATGGTATACATTAATTGTCCTAATAAATAAATAATGTAATTATTTTCTCCTTTTTAATGCAGGTTTTTTGGAGTCGGTTTTTAACTTTTTTGTGAAAATTAATCTATTTCATGCTTCTTAGTTGATTATTCCTTATTATTGCATTGTGATGTCACCCAGATGAACAAAGTGGAATAAGTAATCCGTGTGAATATCCTCGGGGACGACCTTAGTTTGTCCAGGGAACATCCCTGACTTCAACGACGGTCACCCAATTGGCGTCATACAGTCGATGAGGTTCAGTTTACTATTTACTAGCTTTCCGCCCGCGGCTTCGCCCGCGTGGAATTTTGTCTGTCACAGAAAAACTTTATCGCGCGCGTCCTTGTTTCAAAAACCTAGATAAAAACTATCCTATGTCCTTTCCCGGGACTTAAACTATGCCAAATTTCATCAAAATCGGTTCAGTGGTTTAGGCGTGAAAGCAAGACAGACAGACAGACGGACAGACAAAAGTTACTTTCGCATTTATAATATTAGTATAGAAGCATAAATTTATTGCAATAAAATACATCGACAAAACATAAAACTAGGTAACTTAGGTACATTACATGCTACATTATATTCTGTAGTATTTTTATGGCAACTGAAATTGTGTGGGTATATAAATCAAATTAATATGTAAAATCATTTAAAAAGCAGTGACATCGTTTTCATATACATGCATCTCTTTCACCTCTGGGTGTGTAACAGCATCTCTTTGCTGTCTTCGATGCATAATGTAGAAAGAACTGAAAAAAAACGGATGAAATTGTTTACAATTATTAACTATTAGTTATTATGACCTATCGCTATCGAGGAAATGAGCTGTACCTTAAATCATTTATATTTTAGAAAAAGAGCAACATCTTCAGCTTTATTTATTGTATAAAAAGATGTACGTCATTTGAATTAGCCTATGAGGTAGCTTAGCTTAGGCTATAATAGCAACAACTTACCCAAATATTATAATATCTGGGACCGTCATGATCGCCCCTACAATATAGAACGCCCCTGGAAATGTGTTGATTGTGTTTGAATATATCTTTGTATACAAAGGCATGTATATCACAGGAAGTAGCGCCTCAACAAAGCCGATAAGGGAACACATTTTACCTGTAAAGAAATGATCATTACATTTTACAAACACAAATGATAATATTATATTAATTTATATTAAATGTAATATAATATTCATCACCATTTCATCATCAAGTCATATCAGTCTCCACTGCAGGAGCTTTATACCCTGTTTTGTTTCCCAAAAGCAAAATTGGAGGATTTGACCTAGACCTACATCTGCTCTCGAAGGTTTGTAATATTGGAAATTTTATTTTTGTCTTACATGTTCCCAACAGGAGAAAATCGACTAAATCAATATTGAGCAAACATTTTAGACATGCGGGAGTATGTTAAGCCTAGTTTCAGGGAGGAGACTGCACCGTGCGAATATTTAGACGAACCACTTGGAGCCACTTTTGACTCCTCATCACTCAAAAACCACTGTGCATTAACACTTTAAATTTGGCACATGAGTTGAGACTTGCAAGATAAATATCAGCTTCAAATTTCATAAATATACTTCAAACGGTTATTTAGATATTAACGTTCAAAAAACGAAATTTAGTACACTAAAATCTATCTATCACCTGTGAAATGTTAAAATTTACTGGTTTTTTATTTGTTCCTTTGTATTTACACATCTACTTATCTGGATGCCAAATATGAACCTTCAAGGTCCTCTGGAAGTGGTTAGAATTTGATCTATAGGTCAGACATGTAGATTTTTGGACGTCAATACCTAAAGAACCGTTTGAGATATATTTATGAAATTTGAAGCTGATGTTTATCTTGCAAGTCTCAACACATGTGCCAAATTTGAGGTGTTAATGCACAGTAGTTTTTGAGTGATGAGGAGTCAAAAGTGGCTCCAAGTGGTTCGTCTAAATATTCGCACGGTGCAGTCCCCTCCCTAAAACTAGGCTTAACATGCTCCCGCATGTCTAGAATGTTTGCTCAATATTGATTTAGTCGATTTTCTCCTGAGGGGAACATGTAAGACAAAAATAAAATTTCCAATATTACAGACCTTCTAGAGCAGATGCCGCGAAAACTATACAAGATATAGAAAAAAACTACCATCTCACCTGTAGCAAATTGAATAAGCTTTTTTTGGTTCATAGTAGTCATGTCACTAGGACACATAGTTTCCGAGGATTAAGCGAAAAACCAAAAAGTGGTACCTTTAAACCCCCCTCTCCCCGCCGGCTCAAGGGCTAAGGGCGGGGACTTTTACTATGTTCACCTCCTAACTAGTCTAAATAAAGTCCCGAAGTCAAAAATTGTGTTCCACGGTTTTCCATCTATAATGCTTTATTGACTGGACTAATAGTTTTTATTATTTTATGTTAATTTTATCAATCGTATTACCTTCGTAACTTTGACAACATACATATAATATTATGAGTGGCTGATAAATATAAACGTCCTTAGGGAGCAAATCTTTGTGTAACTATGTAGCTATCATAACAAAAACATACCAACTTGATCTGGTTGCACAATTTTGGTTCCGAGCGATCGTACCGCAGTAGACGCAGGCCCTCCAAATATACCAAGGACGGGTCCAGCAAAGAAGTATTCTCTTGTTGGAGCGAGACCGGAGGTCAAAGTAGATAGCAGGTTAGAGGTGGTGGCGATGATACCAAGTAAACCGTCGTGCACCTTGAGCCACTTCACAAATATGCCCATTGCCAATGAAGTACCTGGAAAATGGCAACGGTAATACATAATAAAATTAAATGGTAATAGAAAATTATCATGAAAACATTTGACAAAAGCAAAAAGTTGCCATATCTACAGCCAGATTGGTTTTACTGTTTAACAAGAACAAAAGATGATAATAGTAGATACTAGGATACAATTGAACAAATATTTCAAGTCAGTTTTCATTTGGAAATTAAAATTCACTATGTAGAAACATTTCAATTTTATCTATACTAGTAGGGGGTAAAACGGGATCCACGCGTACGAAGTCGCGGGCGGCTGCTAGTATATTTATATTATATATCGACGATCTGGTGAAGGTCGCGGGAGGTGCCTGGATGCAAGCAGCGCAGGACCGGTCTTTGTGGAAATCCTTGGGGGAGGCCTTTGTCCAGCAGTGGACGTCTTTCGGCTGAAACGAACGAACGATATACAGGGTGTTAGGTAAATGGGTATATGAGCCGACACTAGCCCATGTTAAAATGGGCATATAAATGGTATGGTGACGTCAGAAAATTGATATCTCCATTTTAATTATTTTAATTTTCATATAAATCGGATTTTATAAAATTTATTTTGTATGAAAATTTAAAAAATTAAAAATGTGATATCAAATTTCTGACTTTTACCCACCATACCATTTATATGCCCATGTTAACATGGGCTAGTGTCGGCTCATATACCCATTTACCTAACACCTGTATACTTATATTAAATCTATAGAGAGGTCAATTCTGTACATAAAATATATTTTCAAAATAACTATCAGGGGGTGATTAGTGATCGATACTGATGCAAAAAATGCAATCAGTAAAATTGTCTGTTTGTCTATCTGTCTTTCTGTCTGTCTGTCTGTCTGTATATTCCTTATAGAAACAAAAACTACGGGACGGATTTTAATGAAACTTGGTACAATTATTCTTCATACTCCTGGGCAGGTTATAGTATAGTTAGGAGCAGAGTAGTGAAGGGAAATTTTGGGGAAAACGGGAGAAGTTACTCCATTTTTAAGCTTCCGTCGCGTGTGCAGCCTTAATGGTTAAAGTTACATAGAAATCAAGTATGACGGAAATATATCTAAATATACAGTGTGAGTCACGATAAAGTGCACATATGAAAATATGTGAAACTAGACCTATTTTTATCGACAAAAAAGAGGCCAAAAATTTTTTGAGATTTTTTTTTATTTTTTTATAGAATTATTTTTTTTCCAATTAGGTACTTCTCGTAAAGAAAACTTAATAACTTTTAAACTAATAGGTATATCCTGATAAAATAAAAACAGTAATAATGCTAAATAACAGGTGATAATAAAATACATAAAATACCCAGAAAATGCCAACAAATAATAAAAAAATATACTTTTTGAAAAAATTCTGCTTCTAAATTCGTGTTTTTTTTTGTTTTTTTTTTTTTTTTATGTGATAGGAGGCAAACGAGCAAACGGATCACCTGATGGTAAGTGATTACCGTCGCCCATAGACACCCGCAGACCCAGGGGCGTTACAGGTGCGTTGCCGGCCTTTAAGGTAAAGATACGCTCTCCTCTTGAAAGCTTGCTATTTGATCAATTCCTTCAAAAAATGCCCCTATAACAGGTGGTTTTTATTGCTTTGCATTATTTTATATCGTATTACTTTTGTAAAACCAAAAATTGCATGTCTCTATCCTTATCACAACATTTGCTATGATCGTTTGAACAAAGGCCTGTCACCACATTATTCTCCTTATTTGAAATCAAGTTAGATTTCAAATAAAAACTTACAAATCTAGAGCCTCTTTCAGTTTCGTTGTTAACGAAGCGTTGAATGGCGCGCCCGGAGAGGCTTAGTTCAAACGATCATTGCAAACGTTGTGATAGGGATAGAGACATGCGATTTTTGGTTTTACAAAGGTAATACGATAAAGAATAACACAAAGTAATAAACACTACCTATGGGGGCATTATTTGGAGAAATTTATCAAATAATCAAAAACACACGAATTAAAATGCAGATTTTTCTCAAAATGTATCATTTTTTAATTATTTGTTGCCATTTTCTGAGTATTTTATTTATTTTTTTAGTATTGCCTGTTATTTAGTATTATTACTGTTTTTATTTTATTAGGATACTAGCTGTGCCCGCGACTTCGTCCGCGTGGAATAATGACTTTGGGTAGGCAGTTTTAATAATTTATTCTAATTATTTTACAAATAGCTTTTGCCCGCGACTTCGTCCGCGTAGAAGACGAAAAGTTCTCATAGGATATTTAAATGGTTTTTAATGTTATTATCTGTAAATGTTTAATATGCAGTTATTAAATGTTAGAATATGCAGCTCGGCCTTTGATCCGGTGAAAGTTACTCGGTGGTATTATCTTTTTACAATGAAATCGAAATCTTTTAGTGTAGACACTGTTTAATTGTATAAGTCACTATTGCATGCCGTGGCAACCTTTAATTAAGGCAGTACCTAACTACTTAGATTAAGTTTAAATACGTTGTAAATATTGATTGTCTTCTAGTGTATGTCTTGTTGGTTGACCTATCTATACTTATAATAAATCTGTAGAGAGGTCAATTCTGTACATGAAATATATCTTTAAAATAACTATCAGAAAGTGATTAGTGATCGATACTGATGCCAAAAATGCAATCAATAAAATTTTTGTCTGTCTGTATGTCTGTCTGTCCGTCTGTATGTTCCTTATAGAAACAAAAACTACTAGACGGATTTTAACGAAACTTGGTACATTTATTCTTCATACTCCTGGGCAGGTTATAGTATACTTAGGAATTCCCACGGGAACGGGAATTAACGGGAAAATCCCTTTGTATGAAAAATCTAAACCGCTTAAGTTAGACGCTTGAAATTTGGCATGCAGGTATCTTAGTAAACTTGAAGCTTAGTTACAACAGGATATTGCAAATTTCCCACGGTAACGGGAGTTAGCGGGAAAAAACATTTGTATGAAAAAATCTAAACCGCATAAGTTAGACGCTTGAAATTTCTCATGCAGGTATCTTGGTAAACTTAAAGCTTAGTTACAACAGGATATTGCAAAATTCCCACGGGAACGGGAGTCAGCGGGAAAAAACATTCGTATGGAAAAATCTAAACCGCTTAAGTTAGACGCTTGAAATTTGGCATGCAGGTATCTTAGTAAACTTAAAGCTTAGTTACAACAGGATATTGCAAAATTCCCACAGGAACGGGAGTTAGCGGAAAAAAACATTTGTATGAAAAAATCTAAACCGCGTAAGATAGATGAAGGGGGTAAAACGGGATCCACGCGTACGAAGTCGCGGGCGGCCGCTAGTTAAATAAATAAAAACTACACCTACCGCAGTATTTGTTGGTAAACAATATTTTTTTATTTTCCTACGGGTGCTAGAATCACCAAGCTTCCAGCATGCCACATACAACTGGCCGTGGGTGAAACAGCTTTTCCTCAAGTCTACTCCCGCTACCTTATGGGATGGGCCTCCGCTATAACTCTCAAGGGGCGCCCGCGAGGCCATATTAGTTGCCTCGATTACATTGCGATCCAATGTTTAAACTTGCAATCTGACTTAAGTCAGTAAATGCACTAAGGAGTAATTGATATCAACTTTCAAGCAAATCACCACCAAAATAACTTTTTACCCCTATTTGACATAGCTAGGAGATGAATTTCAATAAAATACGAAATACATCTTTCATTAATTCTGTTAAAAAATGTTGATGCAAAATTTGAAGTAGGTTGGACGAAGGAATCACTTTATCCCATACAAACTTTGCCCTCCTTTTTCACCTCCTTAGGGGTAGAATTTTAGAAAATCCTTTCATATCAGATGCCTACGTCATTCAAAGAACACACCCTTCAAATTTCAGGTCTCTACGGTGAGCAGTTTAGGCTGTGCGTTGATCCATCAGTGGCGCGCTCAGTACTTGATCGTTATTTTGCTGCGATGTTATTTTAAAACTTGCTGCGANGCGATATCTTCTAAGATATTTATTGAAATCGAATAATTTAAATGGCAAGTATGTTTAAAATTAAATACTTGTGATGAATAACTTATTTATTTGGATAAGGATTAATATCATGTTTATGAAAACGCCTTCGCAAATAATGCATTATTTTAAAACAGATTTTTTTTTGCATAAAAAAGGTTACTATGAGCCAACCTTAAAAGATAGACATATGCTGTCGCGGACTTTTTTGTAGAACTTTTAAAGGGAAACAATCTTGTCATACATAATTTTTGCGAAACTTTAACCGTTTACGCAACGTCAGCTCTCAAAAGGAAAAAAATCACTGATTTGAAACATTATTCATTGGTGCTCGCTCCTATTGGTCTTAGCGTAATGATATATAGCCTAAAGCCTTCAGGAACTAACGGGCTATCCAACACAAAAAGATTTTTTCAAATCGGTCCAGTAGTTCCTGAGATTAGCGCGTTCAACCAAACAAACAAACAAACAAACTCTTCAGCTTTATAATATTAGTATAGATAGCTCTTAGTTAAAAGTTATTACGTTTTCTTTACAAGAAGAGATTGGAAGAATAAAAATTCTATAAAAATTTAAAAGAATGTAAAAAAAAATTTTGACCACTTTTTTGTCGATAAAAATAGGTCTAGTTTCACCTATTTTCATATGTACACTTTAATGTGACTCACACTGTATGTATAAAGGGAGAAACTGACTGATTGACTGACTGACTGACATATCAACGCACAGCCTAAACGGCTAAACGTTGGCACTTGAAATTTAGAAGGGACGTAGATTAGGTACCGCAGAGGTGCACTAAGAAAGGAATTCCCGAAATTCCCACGGGAACGGGAATTAGCGGGAAAATCCTTTTGTATGAAAAATCTAAACCACTTAAGTTAGACGCTTAAAAGGCATGCAGGTACCTTAGTAAACTTAAAGCTTAGTTACAATAGGATATTGTAAAATTCTCATGGGATGTTTTTTCCCGCTAACTCCCGTAGTTAGCGGGAAAAAACATTTGTATGAAAAAATCAAAAATGCGTACCTAAGATTTGAATAAGAATAAGAAGGGGGTAAAACGGGATCCACGCGTTCGAAGTCGCGGGCGGCCGCTAGTTTATCATAAAAATAAAACCGACTCCAAAACATACACTAAAAAGTATAAAAATAATTACAAATTAATATTAAAATTTATACCATGATTGATACTTCTGGAGTTTTTTTTAATTTAAAATTAACTTAGGTATTTCTTTCTTTTTATAATAATAACAAATTAATTTCTTTCGACCACATTATGATCATAGTGTTATTAAATAAGTACTTACATACATTTGGTTTGATTTCAAATTGAAAATAAGCATCAGCGGTCTGCCAGTGCCAGCACATGAATCATTGAGTAATGATTCAGGTACCGCCAATCAAGCCTCGACGCAAACATGCCAAGCCCCCCCCCCCCCCCCCNCTTGGCTTGAAAAATTTGTAATAATACTGCTTTTCATGAACTTTCAAGGAAAACTATAACGGTCAAGATACATTCGTTAGTTTAACGCCCGTTTTCACCATCAATCCCTATTTTTTAAGTAAACCCTATGGTAACAAATAACAGGAATTTTGTTTACATGGGGGTCACTTAAAAATTAGGGATTGTAGGTGAAAACGGGCATAAGAGTAATAGTCATTTAAATCATGGAATATTATATTTCTTAACTTGTAAAAATTCTTTAGAAGAAAATATTAAAAGTGACTTTAGATGAATTGCTTGCTTCTGAAATATGTTCTGAGTAATTGCTTGCTTCTGAAATATATTGTGTTAACGACGGACAACTACGGAACCCTACACTGCGCGTGGCACGGCACGCACTTGACCAATTTTTACCTTTTAAAGTAAGGAACCGTAGAAATGAACACTGTGAATATAAATATTTATTTCTATTTGTTTATCTACTATATAAAAATAAGTCGGGTTTTCCTCCCTGACGCTATAACTCCAGAACGCACGAACCGATTTCCACGGTTTTGCATTCGTTGGAAAGGTCTCGGGCTCCGTAAGGTTTATAGCAAAGAAAATTCAGGAAAAATTTCAACAGAAAAGCGGGAAGGGGGTAAAACGGGATCCACGCGTACGAAGTCGCGGGCGGCCGCTAGTTAAATATAAAATCTTACCGACGAGTCCCATGATCAAAGCAAACGTTGTATACAGAGATTGATCCACTAGACCCATCTGGTACCTATTCAATGTGTAGAGGTACAGGCATGCTTGTTCACCTGAAAAGTGCATAAGTGGGTTTATGTTAGAAATAATGGGTAGGTATGTTTGTATATGTCAACGTGAAATTGTGAACTCTGTCAGTTTATAATATAACGCGTTAGATTGTAAACTGACAGTGGGTTAGGTTAGGTTAGATTGTAATTTAACTACGTCAGATTATAATCTGACGGAATTCACAATTTTAGGGTGACATATACATGAGAAGCTTTACCATTTCTCTATTCTTAGGATTACGTATTAAGTATACGATTTACAAACAAAATAAAAAAAATGCAATTAATTGTATGATGTTACCTACTTGATTAGCAACTTTGTTAATACATAATATGTATAACGTCTCATATGACTTATCTTGACAGGCTTCGTTTCCAATGAAAGTAAATAATATGGTTTGTTATTGTTTAAATTAATAGACGATTAAATATAATAAGTAAAAAAAAATTAAATGACATTCATGTCTAGTGTTCTTTAGTCCAAACGTTCATTCAAATCAGTTTGAGGTGATAAATATTATGAAAATATAGAATCGAATCAGGAAAATACTGTGTTTTTAAAAGTAGTTTAAATTGTTGGTACTTTTGTTTGCTAAACTATATGTCTTACCTGCAACAGGACCTTGTATAACAATGTGGGCACAAATTACTAAAGTAATCTTCAATAGCTGCTTCCCACGACTTGTGAACACTAACGATAGTGTGCCCCAAACATTCTTCGGGTGAAAAAAGCTTATCAGTTTATGAAAGAAACTTCCTTCAATTTCCACTCTTCTGACATCTTGAATTCTTATCAGTGCGTAGAAGAAACAAAACATATACATAGCCAGTGAAATTCCGAATATTCCAAAGTAACCGAGATTTACAGTTAGTATGCCACTTATTGCATTTGCCAAAGGGGAACCCAATGACACTAAAACACCCGCTACACCCATTCTGAAGGTACGCGACTCGGGGGTGGTGACGTCAGCTAAATAACTGTATGACCCCATCAAAATTACATACAGACCTCCAGTAAACGTGGATGAGCTTGCTTCTATTAGTGCCATCACCCACAAGGGCCACTCCAGAAAGAAGTACGTGCCGGCAAGAATTCCTACTAATGATCCAATTTCTCCAATGACAGGTATAAGTAATAAGTATTTCCTGTTTCCTGTTTTATCACTCCATGCTCCAACAAACAATATCATTAGAGCTGGTATTCCGAATGTTATAGGTTCCCTCCAAGCTGTCATATCTGCCACAAGAACTGAGGCCTTCTTCAGGGCCTCTATGGTAGTATTGTCATCCTGAATGCCTTCCACTACCTTCCTACAAACCTCCTCTGTCTGATTTAAGTCAACTCGGCATGCTTTTTCCATATTAAATTTCTGCATAGCCGTCGATGAAAGGATTGTTGGTATAATGTAGCAAACCAAAAATGGCTCCACAGTCAACAATAGGATAAGAGATTTCATTCGTTTTATTAATCTGAAGGGTTCCTTCTTTCCATCAGTTTTTTGTTCGTTACCGTTAGCACTGTTAATTTGGGCAGCATTTGTTTTGTTCACATCGCTATTTGTGTCACTATTCATTTTTCAGTTTTCTATCACAAATTAATGGTAAATCGTCGGTAACCAATGTGTATTTGCTAGCTATAACAAGTTGCGACTGAGAGATGCGGATTTTCTGTGACCAAATAAAAAAAACTTGCTTCAAGCTCATCCTAGAACAACTTTGCAAAGTTCAACCGCATACTTACTATTAGTATTTTTTTCCTGTCCATTTAAATAAATCTTTAATAAAACCACCACGTCATCATGGTGATTATCTATCGTGGACCACGATAGATAATCACCATTCGTGGTAAATTGAGTATTGGTAGGTATTTAGTTATGCGCTGAATGAAGTTATAGGCCTTTCCACAAAAATGGAATTTCGAATCTAAATGTCATATTTTTTGATACGGTCCCACCGTAAGAACTGTTGATGGTTACCTGGCCTGACGGTTCACGTGCCGCACTATCGCCAATAATCGCAAACCAGTATATTATCACTAGAATGACGGCAAAATTTAACTACCTAGAAAGACGGACGCCGGTCATATGACTGCACTCGTAATAAAACACTGTTTGTTTACAAAATACTAGGTAAGGTTTTACAAAACAATAAATTAATAATAAGTTAATATTTTATATTTTATATTCAATCGTTTTTTTTCACATTTCAGTGTTTTATTATCATAACAAGATCCAAATAATAGCTTACGACATCTATCACATACTTAGTAGTTATTTCACTTCTTCTTAGGTGTGAGGCATGGTTGTTTATATTTAAAAACGTTATAACATTCTAAACATGAATTGAAATGATGAAATATATTACTTCTGTGATCACGATCCCATTATGGAAAACCTTGGGAGAGGCCTTTGTCCAGCAGTGGACGTCATTTGGCTGTTGTAACAAACGAACGCATTCTGAGCAGTAGTCATGGTAGGTTAGGTTCCTATACTACTATCCTAAGAATTATTGATTACCTACATGGCCAACATACCTTTCAGCATCTTTGAGAAGCGAAAAAAAATATAAATCCGGTGTAGATTTCTTTTCGAATTTAAACACCCGAACGCCGCACAATATTTCTTTCTCTTTATGTCCATTTTTAAATAATACTTCGATCATAGAATTAGGTACATACTACAACGCACGCCAGCGTCCTGACGGGCGCGCGCGTGACACTCGACTGATATAATACCCGCCGGCGGGGCGCTTCGCTGTAGGTAATTATCGGATGTACCGCGCGGAGTGAGCCAGGCCTGGTTTTACATTTTAAATAATAATAAAAGCAAATTAAAATAATTTAATCATGTAGTTTTGAGATAGGCTACCCAAAATAATAAAAGTCACAAATTATCAGAAAGTTTAGTCAAAACCTCTATGATTTATTAAGGTTTGAAATTCAAACTGCAGTCAAATGACTGCTCCCGTCTTTCTAGTGATAAACCAGTGCTAGCGCGAATAAGTCCGCAGACCTGCGTCACTGTGTGCCGAGCGCCATTGCAACGTGGATTTTCTATGAAAACTGACGTCCAAACTGATTTGCTTTAACAAAACCCAAAATTCTACAGAACATAGAGGGCTTGCTCGCTTTTTAGTACTTTGGAGGAGAATTTCTCCGAATAACATACAGGGTGTTTCCTGTAAGGTGTCGACAGACAACATACACAGAATGTTTTTTCGGCCGTTTGGTGTAGTGGTTCGAAACGGACTACTATTCCAGAGGTAGCGGGTTCGATTCCCGCACAGTACAAACATTTGTGTGCATGAACATATTTGTTTGTATTGGACTGGGTGTTTTCTATGTATAATAAGTATGTATTTACAAAAAAAAAAAGTATTCAAGTATGTTTATATCCGTTGTCTAGTACCCATAGTACAAGCTTTGCTTAGTTTGGGACTAGAAACGCAGTATAAAATGTCCAAAGATAGGTATTTATCTATTTATTTATTTTCTGTAAGGTGTCAAGCCGAGGCCAGTAGGCCTAAGATGCGCGCCGTATTAACTTTTATCGACGTCAAAATGTATGGGCAAAATCGATAAAATGGCGTGATAACCGCTTATCGCGGCGCGCATCTTAGGCCTACTGGTGATAGGTGAGTGAGGACCATACCTATCGATTTTACCCCTATGTATGTTTACTATTTTTCGTAGTTTAGGAGCTAAAAATTACATTAGGATTTTTTTTACGCGATACGGATTTGTCGTACATAGGTTGGTTATTCAAGACACTTCTCCGCTCCGCCTTAGTGGAAAGGGCCTTAGTGTCCACCTCTGAAAATCGTTTGGTGTAGAGTTAGACTCATAGTTCGCTGTACCTAGTTGGGTTTGCACTTGAAGCAAAAGGTCGCGATCTTGATTCCCGAACGATACAAACATTTTTGGTGTGAATTAACNAAATTAACATTAAAATTTGCATGTAAGATTGGGATGATTCTGTGTGTAATATGGATGTAACTACCTATTTACTAAAAATATTTACATCCATTGTCTGGTATCCTCAGAGCTTTGCTTATTTTGGCCTAATGGCATGTCCAAGGATATTTAAACAAACCTGTACTTAATTATGTAGTGTTATTGACTATTGTTAAAGCCTAGAAATCAACTAATTGCAAGTCTCAATGTTATCGATTGTATTAGTTTTTTTTATAACAAGATGCATAAAGAATTCTAAATGAATAATTGCAAACTATAACTAATTAATATTAAGGTTATTTTATACACGTATCATAATTAGTCCTGTTTACCTACTGTATAATTGTTGCCATGTTAAAAAAGCGTACTAACAACATGCGCAGGAGTATGACATAATTTTTGTAGAATTTGTGAAAGTGCATCACATTGGGTACTGATTTACGCATAAATGTCCACTGGCCGATAGAGACGCCCAGTTTTGTGGGATTCTACCCACTAATACCCGACGGTGTCCACCGGAGCCTAGTGAAATGGTGCCGCGAGTTGTCCCGACTTGGACAGTTTGTCTGCAGCTCCGTTTCAGTACCTCAAGCATGAACAACTTTCGTCTTCGAATCGTTTGCGTATTCGACAAAATTTGATACTCAATCTTCAAATCAGGTGATCCGTTTGCTCGTTTGCCTCCTATCACATAAAAAAAAAAAAAAAAGAATTAAACGATAATGTGACAATTTTGATTCTCAAAATAAGTTTCGTGCGACCATTTCTCATACTAAGTTCACTTTACGACATGTTCACAAGGGCGCTGATGTAGTTTTCGTACTAAATCTTTTGATAGCGATTCGAATACGCAAACGATTAGAACTCGAAAGCTTTTCGTGCTAGTCGTACAGGATGAAGCTCGTTTTCGAGCGAGCCTCTCCGGTTTCGAGAGGTCCATCCCTTCCTCTGGTTGTTTGTAAAGAGGATTTCAAATGGCGCCACTACATCTATACTTATCTATACTTCTATACTAATATTATAAAGCTGAAGAGTTTGTTTGTTTGTTTGTTTGTTTGGTTGAACGCGCTAATCTCAGGAACTACTGGACCGATTTGAAAAATTCTTTTTGTGTTGGATAGCCCGTTAGTTCCTGAAGGCTTTAGGCTATATATCATCACGCTAAGACCAATAGGAGCGGAGCACCAATGAAGAATGTTTCAAATCAGTGATTTTTTTCCTTTTGAGAGCTGACGCTGCGTAAAAAATGAAAAAAGTTGCGAAAACGGGTTTTCACGCGTACGAAGTCGCGGGCACAGCTAGTATTTACATAAATATGGAATGAGAACATGAATTAATCGAACCCAAGACCTTTAGACATTTCAAAGGTAGATAATGTCAAGGTTATAGCTTTACACAATATTTCACATAAAATGTTCCTTACATAACTTATTTTGGATAACCGAATTCGTACGTTCATTGCCTTAATACTTTCTAACATATCAATAAAGGCCGAGCCAAGACTACAAACACTACTTTTTTACGCTGGGAAATGCTTTGCGCATACCCACTGGCCCATGGGGACTACCAGTGGGTTATCTCTCCGCCAGGGCCTGTCCACCAAAGGCCTTAGGGCGAGATCTACCGCTAAAACTGATGGTGTCACCGGAACCCAACGGAAAACACACAAAAATAGTTCTGAAAAGGAGTATAGCAGAAAATGTAGAGATGTTTGAAGCAACTTATGGATAATTTTTGTATTATTACTCCATTTTCTTCCATAAACTTTGAATTTTTAATAAATTTCAACATCTAATTACATTAGTGTGATATATCATTGGAAAAAAGAGAAGCTAGAAATGTTTTTAAGATCATTGGCAATTCATTATCACCATTATTTATTTTTTAAATAGTATTCCAAGTTGATTTTTTTATCGTGGTTTGTACAGTCACGNGAATTAACATTAAATTTGCATGTAAGATTGGGATGATTCTGTGTGTAGGTAATATGGATGTAACTACCTATTTACAAAAAATATTTACATCCATTGTCTGGTATCCTCAGAGCTTTGCTTATTTTGGCCTAATGGCATGTCCAAGGATATTTAAACAAACCTGTACTTAATTATGTAGTGTTATTGACTATTGTTAAAGCCTAGAAATCAACTAATTGCAAGTCTCAATGTTATCGATTGTATTAGTTTTTTTATAACAAGATGCATAAAGAATTCTAAATGAATAATTGCAAACTATAACTAATTAATATTAAGGTTATTTTATACACGTACCATAATTGGTCCTGTTTACCTATTGTATAATTGTTGCCATGTTAAAAAAGCGTACTAACTACATGCGCAGGAGTATGACATAATAATATTTTTGTAGAATTTGTGATAGTGCATCACAATATTTAAACATCAGTTTTTTAGGTCATGTTGGAAGAATGTTGCGAAAACGGGTTTTCACGCGTACGAAGTCGCGGGCACAGATAGTACCTATTTATTTACATAAATATGGGATGAGAACATGAATTAATCGAATCCAAGACCTTTAGACATTTCAAAGGTAGATAATTTCAAGGTTGCTAAAAACGCGAATTTTACTATTTTATTGTTACTTGTAGCAATAACAAAAATGAGAGTTATAGCTTTACACAATGTTTCACATAAAATGTTCCTTACATAACTTATTTTGGATTACCGAATTC